TCATTTACTGTTGTGGAGTTTAAGATGCCAGGAAAGACAGCCAAACCATTAAGTAGCTGCATTTGACTTACACCTTGTTACCTGGTTAAATTAGGTGGGTAGGTGGGTGGGTGGGTGTTTTTTTTTTTTTTTGTTTTACTTCTTTAGAATACAGGTTACAGTCATTTATTATTTCTTTTCTTTGTCTCAAAAGACAAATTAGATGGTTTATAGTGGGAAAAAGGCAAGTCACCTCTTACTAGGAAGCTGTGATTCTATTAAACCTAGGTAATTTTAAGTACTCATATAAGGATCCTAATTTATTACATGTATGGTCTGAGGAAGTAGAAAGTAGTAAATAACATCATTTAAACTCTCTTTAAACAAAACTTTCATAATCAGCATTGCATAGGGTCCAGTCTTGCCAATCTTCCTATATCATTGAGCATAATGGTAGTTCCAGATCTGTTTATGTCTTAATGATATTAACAAAGTGAGGATTTGACACTCATTGTCCTCTAGTCAAGCAAGACTCTTATTTTTGCATTTACAATGGAAAAATTAGGTCCAGTCTTTCAATTTTTATCTATTCCCACCTTTTTTTTTTTAACCTAACGATTTACAAATCATAAAGAATAGCAAGAGATTAAAGAAAGCTGGAAGCTCAGAATAAAATGACCATAGTACTAATATAGCATGTAAAGTTATTAATTTAAGATAAATAACAAAACAAGTTGCCTTTTACTGAAGATATATTTCATGCCTACAATTGCATGTTAGAATATGCTAGTTAGTTGATATTAGTTCATTCCTACAACGTGCAGTTAGTACAAAACTGGCTACACAATTTTTATAAGTTGCTGCAAGTTTAAGGTGAATTTTGCAATTTCTAAGCTCCCCTCACACCCACCTCAAACCAACAAAGTTGGTTTTCTAAGTTTTAAAGGTCAGGAGCAACATTTTGATCCTAATACAGAATTACAATAATATTTACTAAGTACGTATTAATATGCTTAGCGTAACACGTGCTAAAAGTGCATTGGAAGGAACATGGAGAGATCTAATGGCAAATGACATCAATGCAACCAATTATCACATTAAAAAGCATATATCTATTATTTGTTCCTGCCATATTTCTGCTGATGGGTATGTCTTGACTCAGCTTGCAAAGAACTGTGTTATCCTGGATGTTGTTAGC